TAATAATTATATAAAAAAAACATTTGGACCATTAGTTACAATTATTTTTAGATGGACCACCTATTTACATCCATATTTAAAAGGTCGTGGATTCTATAAGGTTGCAACCTTAAACAATCCAATTAAGGCGCACCTACAAATGTTATTATAACATGGATTTTTGGTGTAAAATATCCTTAGGACTATTTGAAACTCTATTTTCATATCTAATTATAAAATTTAAAAATCCAAAAAAATAATAAAAATCAATAAAAATTTTAAAAATATGAAAATCTTGAAAATGAACGGTTTAGATAATGTGCTGTAAGATTGAAACAACATTCTTCAATGGATTTTTGGGGTGCATCTGTATTTTACATTTTAAGGAAGCAACCTTGTAACATACTGTACAAATGCGGTCCTGCCCGTTTGAAACCATATCTCCCCTCTCTCATGCAGAGACGGAGTAAAGAACGGAATTTGCCGCGAGGAGCTGATACTTTTGGCCGCTCCCATAGTGGACACGCACGACCACCTTGGCACGTGGTCTCGTAGTCGTAATCTAATAATTTTGGACGGTCTTTGATTCACGATATCAATAACTCAAAACAAAAAACAAAAATTCATTAAATACTATTCAGGAAAGAAAAAAAAAAAAGGAACATGAGTTTTGAGCATCAAAACCCTAGATTTGCTTACCCTTGAAAATAAATGGTTTGTAGATTTAACTTGGAGCACCATTGGGCTTCAAATATCTTTTAACTCATATTAGATAGGAATAAAAATGTATCAATATTGTTACACAAAAATATTCCCTGATCTTAGCTCCTGGGTGCAAGACCATGTGTTGATAATGGTCTCTCAGAAGACCACCAATTTTCCCCCTAATGTTAGTGCTCATCGTAAATTGTATCATGTTTCTAAAATTTAGACCTCGCTAAATCTAGAGGGCGAGAATGGGAGAAATTTTAAAATTTGCTAAGCCACACACATGCAAAGTTTCTTTTTTTAGGTAAGTAAGTGAGGGGGAAACCCTAACCGTTTTTCATTAAATAAAGATGGAGAAAATACATATCATAGTTTAACAACCCTACTGTAGGCAATTTTGTTAAAACATAGAATAAAGTCAGAAATAAAATCCGACGGTCTAGAATGCCAAATTGTAGTATAAAAAAGAGACATTCCCTTCTTGGCAAGTGCATCTCCTGTCATGTCAGCTTCGCGATAAATGTGATAAATGACCCACTTATGATCTAAAAGTCTATATCGGCAATTAGTTGCTACCGTGTGGAGTGCCCATGAAACTCTGCAGCGCCCCTGAATAACGTTTACCAGCAATGACGAATCGTTTTCAATTTAGAACATGCAAAGTTATGAAACTTGAACCCGTGTTTCCAAGGGTCCTATTACGTGTCGATATTTGGTGGACACAGACACATGTGTTGACACTTATAAAAACGTGTATGACACTCTTATAACTGTCTAATAGTGTGCATTTTTTTTTTAATGTGGTATTTTTTTTATTTAGAAAAACTATTCTTCAATGAATAATTTTTTATTTTAAAAATAATAATATTTTAGAATTAAAAAATAGTTTACAATAAAAATAAAAAATATTTTAATTCCCTACCTGTATATAAGTCACTATTCCTATAAAAAAAAGTTTGCTTTTATTTCAATTACTAATAAACCTTCTAGAGTTTCTCTTTATCTAAGTCCTGATTTTTCCCTCTCTAAGTCGTCGACCCATGGATCTCCATCTCACATCTTTTGCAAAGTTTCCCTCATCCCTTCTCATTTTGTGACGTAAGATCTTTTTAGCGGACTAAATTTTTTGTATCATTTATAACATGAGTCATATTCTACATTGGCTTTTAATATAGTACGTTAGATCGTTCTACTTGCGTTGTCTTGGAACTTGACGTTTACAACCTTTTTATGCCGGTACTTGTATTTGATATTTTTTAAAGTTTTTGCGATTTTTTCCTACAAAGTATAGTATTTGTCATTGTCTCAAATTTTTAAAATTAAATTTTTTTGATAGCTTATATTTGTTCATAGCAATCTAAGATTGCTCACAATGAGGCAAGATGCTAATAAATCCAGTCCTTGTAGATATTAGGATGTGGGCATCAATGAAGGCAACATCGATGGACATATTAAAATTAACATCGAGAAAATGGTGTCAGAAGAACCGGTCATGAAAAAAGATGGATCTATCGAGAGTGCAAGTGGTATAATTATATGATTTTAGATTAATATATTTGAACTATGTTCAATATCCCTGCAAAAAGCTGCTATTTGAATTAATAATTAACTAATAATTTTTAGCCTTAGATTGGACTATAAGAAATTTTTTATGAATAAAATTATGATTCATGAAGTAACACATTTTGGATTATCAATTTAATTTAATTATTTTATGCTTTACTACTATAATGAAAAATGAATTATTGCGAATATAAAAGTAGATATCAACTACAAGTGAACTTCAATATATATATTTATGTACTATACATATATGGAGACACATATGTATTGTACGAACATGTCGTGTCTAACTGACAATTTTTTTAGGCCAGTGTTTTTAATATTCGTTGTGTGTCACAAATAGAGACATATATTTGTTTCTATATAGCATAGATGCAAAGAAGAAAGAGAAAGAACATAGGAGACATGTAGGGGCCAACAACAATAACAATCACAATCGTCGAGGGCCCATTGCGCATCCTTTCTCTCTTACATGGCTTGTAGTCATTAGAGAGAGAAAGAGAAGCAGCCTTAGGGCACAGAGGGAGGTGCCCCACAAGGTCTAGACAATGACCTCCATTGACAAGTAAGGCAACATTAGGTGCTCAGTTTTGGGGTAACATGTTGAGGAATAGGCCCAAAATTAAAGCATAGCACCGGGCTTCATTAACCACAACTATAGCTTCCTATGGAACCCACCTGATTCTACTGGGGAAAACATGACATGGACCAGAGATAAATACAGGTAAAAAAGAGAACAAAGAGGGAACAAAGGTGTGATGGATATAAACAAGGGCTAGGAAACAAATGAGAGAGAGAGTGAAGGTGGGGATAAAAACAAAAAGAGAGCAATTGAATGTGACATGTAAGAGAAATGAGATTGGAAAAATGTGTATTTTTGTGTCTATGCGGGTATATAAAAGGTTTGGACCATGCACTTCAGTGGAAGGAGTAGGCCTCCTATTATGGGCATGAAAGAGAGAGAAAGAGAAGAGAGAGAAAAAAAAGAGAGAGAAAGAGAGGGATTGGATAATAGTAAATAGAAATGTGGCAATGGAAGGTGGTGCAAATTCGTGAAAGATGAGAGAGCACCTGTCCGTACAAATATTAACCACTTTTTTTTGCAGGTCTTTTTCTTTCTTTTTCTTGTTATTGTTTGGTACTATTATTGTTATCATCTGGCTTTTGCTTTGGGCTTGGACGGGTCCGTTCAATTCAAACAACTGGCTGAGAGGTGGCAGGTTCAGGCATCGAGGACGATGAAGCAGTTGAAATGCCGTGTCGTGATGGGTGAAAAAACAAGAGAGAGAGGGGTAGTTTAGTGAGAGAGAGAAAATGAGGGAGATATAGAGAGAGTGTGGGTTAGAGAGAGAGGGGAATGAGAGGTGCATAGAGAGAGCTTATACCACACTGCAGGGAAAAAACCTTTTCTTTCATTTGATTAAAAAAAACAATGTACCTTACAAAAAAAAAAAAAAAAAAATAATAATAATAATAATAATAATGTAGAAAAACCGATTTTTGATGGGTTTTTATTTGATTTAGGGGATCTAACCGCCCATGGTTGGACCCCTTACCTAACTTATGCTCCAGTAGGATTCCTACTTGGGTGTTTTTTCTACTACTTGGCCGGTTTCCTTTGACCTAGCCATATTTTGGATCTACTCGACCGGTTCGCTCAATTATATCTTCAGTTTGGTGGTCAAGCTCAAGATCTTAAAAAATTTAAAATTTAAAAAATTAAAATTTAAAAATTAAAAAAAATATTTATTTTTGGGTAATTCAATGCTAAAGATAAGCCCTTAGACACCAGCATTGAAAAAGCAGAAAAAAAAAAATGTAGGGTGGTGGTGGTAGCACCTCACACAAGCAAAGCAGATAGGGTAGTGAGAAAGTGACGGAAAGAGCGACTGTGCTTCCCCTGCTTATGGAGGAAGTGCACTTTCATGTAGTGAGAGGAGAGAGAGAGAAGTGTACTTTCATCTTTAGTGTTGTTAGATGGTTAGGAAACTCACGGGCAAAAGAGGTAAATCGAAGGACACTTGTGGTTAAGGGATGGTAAAAGGAAGGGTGTTCCCCGACAAACGGCCTAGGGATACCCCACGCACCTCTGCTAGACCATTGCCCAATGCGCCTCTCTCTCTCTCTCTCTCTCTTTCCCTAGATTACCTAATGACCCTCTCAAACCCCGTTGCCCGCGTTAATGGTGGCAGTGCTTTAAGGGTCGCAGTTGCCAGGGCCCGCAACCTTGGCACTGGCCCTTATCCTCATAGGATTGACCCAGGTTTGGCCCCGGCCGTTTAGGGCTCGGCCAGACCAAAAATAAATGAAAAAAACAAAGGGCCTGGCCGACATTGGCCTTAGCTAGCTCTCAAGCTACCATTTGTGGCTCAGGCCCTATTGTTTTAGGATTGAGCTTGGTTGGGGCTGACTGGTCCATTGCCGGCCATAAATTCGCGAGCCCACTCTGACCTCTCTCTTTCTGTCTCTCTCATTTCATTATATTCATCCTATTGTCATCTAGGGATTGCAAAAGGTAGGGTCTAGCCAGACCGGACCTGGACTAGAATGGTATTGAGTCCAAAAATTGGATCTATACCCGGACCCAACATCAGCCTAGCCCTCGGGTCCTGGCGGGTCAATTGCCACCCCTAGAGTGTCCCCTCTCATTATCAAAAGGAACAATGCTATACGAAAATAAATTGAGTTTTCCTTTTCCCTGTCCACCCCAAAACCCTAGAACCCTTGTTTTAGGATAATATCCAAAACAGTGTTTTGTTTTTTTTCTTCAATGGCTCGATTACCCAGGACTTTGGAAAGCAATGAGAAACCCCTTACTCGCGAAAAACTCCCTCTTTACCATATTGCCCTCGGTACTCTGATTTCCATAAAAGTCCCATTTACGTTCAATATTTCATCATAATCATATTTAAAGGACCAGATTTTACGCTCAAAAGGGGGCAAAATTACCCAAAAGATTAGACGCCCATTCTGAAAATTTTGAGATCCTCGAGGGCATTTCTGTCACGAAATTTGAGGTTATGGTTTAACCGTGATTACGGTTGATAATCAGTTATATAATCATGGCCACTTTTTGTGGAATGATTTGGTGTAGGGCAGGGCTTGTAGCCTAGGTTTCTCTCTCTAAAATCAAAGTGTTTCTCTCTCTAGTTTCTTCAGTATTAAAGTCTCGTTTTCTCCATTAAAATTTTATCAATCATGTATTGATATATCAATTTAGACAGATGGGTGGGAAGTGGCCTCAGTGTCTGTGCTTCTCTGATGAGAAATATTAAATTCTGAGACTGATGCCTTAGCCATCCTTGCGTCCCCTGTCTTTTACTTTCTCTCTCTAACAAAGTGGTGCAGACCCAGTTCAGTTTTTTATTCGGCCCCTAACGAAATCGCAGGAAAAAACAGCAGATTAGAGAGAGGGGGGGATGGGACAGTGGTTCCATCTGACATTGTGCATGGTGACTAGTGTTGTTGAGTGTGGGGTAACATTAGGTTGAGTTGTTAAGCTATTAAAAGTGTTGGGAGTTATTGAGGAGAAGGATCGGCAATGGATCCTCTGAGTAAGAGAAGGAAATTGGGTTTTAGATCCAAAAGGTCATTGCATCGTTGCTTCTTGGTTCCAATCCTTTGTTTCTCTGCGTTTGCCCTCTTCGCGTCGGCGATCAGCCATGGCAACACTCGACTGAGTGGAGAATCTCCAAATCTGGTTCATAGGAGTGTTGGTTCTACTGATTCAGCTCAACAGCAGGTCTGATTCTCTCTCTCTATCTCTCTCTTTGAGCATGCAACTGCTTAATTGGGCATGTGGGTTTTGTTTAGAAGTTAAGATTTTGCATTTCTGAGGTTAAAAAATAGCTGATCCATTAAAGAAATGCTTAAAATATGATTATCAGTGAAGACCTCTCTGTCTCGCTCTCAATACATTACTGATCAATAAAAAGGCTTAAAACGTGATTATCTGTGAAGATCTCTCTCTCTCTCTCTCTCTCTCTCTCTAGGTGTTTGCACGTGTGCATATGTGTGTTCGTATGTGAAAGATGTGAGGCAATCCGAAGAAAATGTGAACAGTATTATCTCTCTCATTCTCTCCCTCTCTCTCTAAAACGTGAAAATATTCTCTCTTTCACTCTCTTTCTAAAATGTGAACAGTATTCTCTCTCTCTATCCCTATCTCTCAACAGTGTGTTACTATGCATGTGGACTTTGTCTTTCTCTCATATCTGATCATTGCCTCTCTCTCTCTCATCTCCGTTCATTACATCTCTCTCTCATATCTGATCGTTAGCCCTCTCTCTCTAGCATGCTACTGTTCGTGCGTATCTATGAGAAAAATGTGGGTCTTTCGTGAAAGCTATCTTGCTTGAAAGCTATGTTTGCCGTCTGCAATGGTTAAAAATATGTTATTATTAATAATGGTAATGGAGATTTACAGGTGAATGGTGCAATTGTTGGCAGTAAAGTAGGGAGGGGTGGTTTGAGCAGCAGGAGATGTTTGAGCGGGCCGGGCTCTTCGCCTCCCCGCTGCGTTTCCAAGTGTGGGAAATGCACCCCTTGCAAGCCTGTTCATGTTCCTGTCCCACCAGGCACCCCTGTTACCACTGAATATTACCCTGAAGCATGGAGATGCAAATGTGGAAACAGATTATATATGCCCTAAGCTCTCTCTCTCTCTCT